ACATTTTTTTAACTCCATGTGCTCCTGTGTGCTTTAACAGCGTTATGGAGCTTGGGGCTGGTGCAACAGAATGATTCTGATGTTATGTTGCTGCAATTTTCACAGGAGTAACTGTGCACTGACATAGACTCCCCAAAAAAAGAGAGAAAGAGAGAGAAAGAGAGAGAGAGAAAGAAGGATTCAAGGTAGATTATGCACTTTAAGTTGGTTTAGGTGTTAACAGAGCTGACATGGTACCTTTCTTATTTAAAGAAAATTAGCAGAAACTTGCAACACAGTTTGATTTTTCGGGAGAAATGTTACAGTGAGGAGTAAGGGTTTGATCCTATGAACTGCTTAGGGTACCATGTTTCAGACTAGGTTTTCAACTTTTTTTTTTTAATGAACAGAATTTCTGTGCCTTTTTTATTTTTAAAAAAGCAGACAAAAATCAGCAGATGATGTACTCCCCTGCCCCTGTTACTGCTTCTCCATATTGAGAAAGGATCTGTGTCTATATTTCCGGCTACTATTCATCTACTGAAGGTATAGAGCTTCATAAGAGACTATGAAGGGCCCTGCTGGATCAGACCAAAGACCCATCTCATCCAGCATCCTGTTTTCCACACTGGCCAACCGAATGCCTCTGTGGGGAAGCCCACATGCAGGGCTTGAAGGCAGCAGCTGTCTCCTGTTTTGAATCTCCAGCGATAATCTTCAATGGCTGGGGATAGTTGATGCTGGTGGTTGCGTACAAGCCCAGACCCTTCAAATGTCCTGATTTTCCTGGAACATTACTGGAATCACAGAAGCCATCCCAGCTTCTGATTTGATCCCATAATGTCTCGTTTACCCGTCCAGAGCCATCACCATCAAACTTGGGGAGGAGGGTGAGCTAGCGCTCTTGTCAACACTTGTGCTTGCAGTGTTGCCCCAAGGGTATGTTATAGTAGGCTCCGGGGGCCTTCTGGCGGTTCCCTCGCTGCGAGAAGTGAGGTTTCAGGGAACCAAGCAGAGGGCCTTCTCGGTGGTGGCACCCGCCCTGTGGAACGCCCTCCCATCAGATGTCAAGGAAATAAACAACTATCAGACTTTTAGAAGACACCTGAAGGCAGCCCTGTTTAGGGAAGTTTTTAATGTTTGATCTTTTATTATGTTTATTATATTTATTGTGTTTTTAATCTTCTGTTGGGAGCTACCCAGAGTGGCTGGGGAAACCCAGCCAGATGGGCGGGGTATAGATAATAAATTGTTGTTATTGGAAGCAGGCCAAGGTGTGTAGTGGTGGCAAGGCAAGCTTGGGCCTCTTCTCACCACCTTCTTGGGCCCATCCCCACTTGAAGCAGAACCTGGGGGGTGGGGAGGCAGTTTGCTGCTGCAGCAGAGGCAACTGGCGCTCTTGCCGGCCCCTCTCTGCCAATGCCACCGCTGTCACGGTGGCCTGAGGTGCCCCATGAGAGGAGAAAGTCAGTAAGGAGGGAAGGGAGCGAGCAGCTGCCAGGTAGGGGCTGTGGCAAGTGAGGTGGCCAACTGACTCGTGCCACAGCACGACACAAAGAGACACGCCACTCAACTTTCATCTCAGGAATGTTGGAGGGTATGCAAGCATAGGAGCCAACTTCTAGGGGCTGAGGTGGCTTCAGCCCCCCCCATAAAATATTTGAGGGGGCCAGCCCCCCCCCAAGTTGATGGTCATTGCCATTCAAATGATGTGCGTGCACCACATCATGCAACTGATAATGTGGGACAGAGCCTATCTGAGGCCCCCAATAATTTATTCAAGTTGGCACCCCTGTATGCAAGCCATCATAACTAGTAGCTGTTGATAGCCTCACACTTCGTGCATTTGTCTTGTCCCATTTAAAAACCATCCAATCATTGCAACTTATGGCAGCAAGTGTCATAAACCAAATATACCTGGTTGTCAAGAAATGCTCCCTTTTGTCTTTCACAAATCTAATTTGTTCCAGCAGACACCTCTAAAACGTGCAAAGCCTGAGGGTGAGACTCCTCAACACCTCCGGTGTGTCTCGCCTGCCTCTCACTTTGCTATGTATGTTCAGCGAATCCCTGTACCAGCAAGAAATGTTGCTATCATGCCACATTGGTAAGGAGAGTCTCTGCACAGGTGTGGCACAAGGGGAAATACTTCTGTGCATGTGTGCTGAGGGATATGCTGTGCCCCAAGGAATTTTTGGGTCCAGGACAGGCCCATAGTGGAATCTAGACAATTCCCGTTTTGTTGCCTTGTGCAGTTGCAGCCCAGCCAGAACAACAGATTGTATTCTTGATGCTGCAAACCAAAGATCACTGTGGCCGTTAGGAAGGATACATTATAATGGCAGATCACTCTTTGTGTGTGATTTTTGAACAGAACTGTGCGGCTCTACACCACTTTCCATGCTTACATTCTAACTATGCCCAATTCCAAAGTTTAATTCCATCTGCTAGTCTTATCTGAAATGGCTAATAAGAAATAAAGGAATAAGCCCCCAAACAAATAACCTAGGGAAACAATATTGGACAACTTGTCATGCTGGTGCTCAGAACTGACTAATGAGCAGATCCCCCATTCTTTTGGCTGACAGGATGTGCTACATAACTCCTGCAGTGCCCTCTACTGTCAAGAAAGGGCCATGCATCCCACGCCTTGCAATGCAACTCGCTTTGGAAACAATTCCTATTAATGTGTTGGACTCAGAGAACAAAATAAAGTGTTGAGTATATAAAACACAGTTTAGGGTCCTGAATCAGCAGTCAAATAGTGGACCTTATTTTGATTGCCCCATCTAAGAACCTTGCAACCTTTGCCGTCATCCGCTCCTCTTGATCTGCCAGGAGAAAAGACACTGTAGCAGTGGTTGGGTGACCCGGAATGGACAATAAAAGAGGAGTGAAAATCTTGTTCCTCAGGTCTTTATAAAGAGTGCACACCAGAAGGGTGTGCGCCACTGATTTGGTGCTGCCATGTCCGCAGGGACATAAGCGTTTTTCGTGTGGAATCTTTTGGAATCATCCCTCAAGTACAGCCAAGGGCAATACATTCAGTCTTGCGAGGGTAAAAGCGTGTCTATATTTTGGAATTGCTAGGTTGTACAGGTAGGGTGCCAGAGAATCAAAGTGGGAAGATGGAAAATGGTCATACCACGGGCAAAATTTCCTTATTGTGACCAGGTTGTTCTGACGCTCAAATTAGACTGTTTGCTTTACCCACAGTGAGTAGTTATAGTGGGGATAAACCACAAAAGTGGTTTTCATTGGCAAATTTAGACCAGGCAATGCAACTCGCTTTAGAAACAATTCCTATTAATGTGTAAATGTGTTGCACTCAGATACAACTTGAAGTCCCTTTTGTGGCCATGGCAGCGCCCATGTGTACTGTCAGGATTGTGGGAATTCCTGCAGATAATGCTGGGAATTGTAGTTCTGCGGGAGGTAAACTACGTCTCCCATCATTCTTTGGAGGAAGCCATATGCTTCAAATGTACAGCATGTACATTAAATACACATTAAATAAATGAAACCATGTTACAGCTATTAATCCTATTAAAGGTCTAAAGACGGGGGGAAATCAGCCAAACACTGTCCAGCTGCTGTGGCTCACTGGTTTTATGTTGTGATAATGGCTCTGAAATTGCTCATGGATTCTGGGTGATGGACTGAACATCAGAGGTTGAACACATGCCTTGCATGCAGAAGGTCCCCTGATTCAATCCCCACCATCTCCAGTTAAAAGATGGAAGCCAAAAACTTCAATAAAATGTGCAACGGCTCATTAACCTCTTAGGTACTCAAAGGTTAGCACAAAATGGATGTGCCAAAGAATAGCAAAGATGGTAAATGTACCCATAGACCTTAAAAGGCTGGTGACCACTGTAATAATTTATTGGGCTTGCAAATGGAAAGCAGGTTCAGTTCAAACCCCTACAGTGCACTGCTGGCCTTGGGCAAATAACTGCCACTCAGACACCAAACCCACAAGATTGTTTTGAAAATTATTATATTTTGGAAGACAAATGGCGCACTGAATAAATTAACTATGCAACTTGCATATGTTCCAGGAAACTATAGTGAAATCCTAGCTGTCACATGCATTAGTCACATGTGACAATGTAATAGTAATACAGTGGTACCTCGGGTTAAGTACTTAATTCATTCCGGAGGTCCGTTCTTAACCTGAAACTGTTCTTAACCTGAAGCACCACTTTAGCTAATGGGGCCTCCTGCTGCCGCCGCGCCGCCGGAGCACGATTTCTGTTCTCATTCTGAAGCAAAGTTCTTAACCTGAAGCATTATTTCTGGGTTAGCGGAGTCTGTAACCTGAAGCGTATGTAACCTAAGGTACCACTGTACTGATCTTTTGTATAGAGGCAGGGGTCCTGTGGCCTCTCTCTGAACGTCATCTCTGAGGTGACCATTTTCACATTTCTCTTCCACACTCAAGTAGCACACGCTCAAGGCTGCTTTTCTAGCAAGCTTTTATTACATGTGTGTATATGGCGCTGTGGGTAAAAGCCTCAGTGCCTAGGGCTTGCCGATCAAAAGGTTGGCGGTTCGAATCCCCGCAGCGGGGTGCGCTCCCATTGCTCGGTCCCAGCGCCTGCCAACCTAGCAGTTCGAAAGCACCCCCAGGTGCAAGTAGATAAATAGGGACCGCTTACCAGCGGGAAGGTAAACGGCGTTCCGTGTGCTGCGCTGGCCTGCCAGATGCAGCTTTGTCACGCTGGCCACGTGACCCGGAAGTGTCTCCAGACAGCGCTGGCCCCCGGCCTCTTGAGTGAGATGGGCGCACAACCCCAGAGTCTGTCAAGACTGGCCCGTACGGGCAGGGGTACCTTTACCTTTTTTATATGTACGAGTGGGAGTTAGATGGATCCATCTGTGTGCAAGTCTCTCCCCCCCCCCCCCAATACAAAAGTTTTCCTTTCATGGAAAGGAGGAACATTGACCATTAAAAAAAACGGAGAGGCTGCAACAAGTAACTTACAGCTGAACAAATATTGACAGCTGGTTTCCATATCTTCAGCAGATTAAAAGGCCCTTTTCTTTAATCGCATACCGCAGCTAAGCTAAACATGAAACAGAACCTCAAGATTAAAATCAATACATATATATATCAGAACTCATAAGTTTACATGAACCAAAAGGAGGCTGCACAGCCATCATAGTGGCTGAAGAGGTTTCAAGACAAGGGGAATGAAACACTTAGCCCGGGTTCTCATGTTACCTTTTCAGCAGATGGAAGGAAAACAGGGGGGGGGGCACAATCCCCTCAGAAGGTAAGAAGGGACCCAGCTGTGATCCTGCCCAGTTTAGGCACTTTCCATTCTATCATTTCATGTTGGGCTCTCCCCATTTGAAATAATCAGTGGGCCTTAATGAGGGGAGTTAAACTATAATGCAGTGGAATATGAAAGGGCTTAAATTTGGCAGCTGGCTCCCCATGAGAACTGGTCCTCACACCCTGAACACAATTTGGGTACTCCTTCATTTCCATCTCATCTATTTCAAGGAATCAAGACAAGATATGTGAAAGTCTGCTGTTCCCTCCCCCATTTTTGCTCACTACAAATAAATATGACTATACAGACAGAAATGCAAAGCTGAGAGAATCTATGAACATATTAAGCAGTGGGCAATGGACAAATGGACTAATTCAAGGGATTGGCACCAATTCTTCATATGTGAACTATGGAAAGTTAACTTCTTTTTTTAAAGCAATAAAGCCTTCAATAATTTCTCAGTACAGTACCAACAATAAGTATTGCTGGTCTAAAAATGCCTACAGGGTGACTAATTGGCTCATGGGGGTCAGGAGATGTCAAATCAGAAGGTGGTGATAGAGGCCACAATCTATTGAGACATTCTCTTGCACAACCTCTGCAGGAGAGCAGCTTCCATTCATTCCCATCAGGCTCCTGCAAGGGAACTTCTTACTGGGAAGTGTCCAGGATTTGAAACTGATTTCACACCTCTCGTGAAGAGGAAGCGCCTAGGAGAGTAGAAACCGCTATAGCAGCTGCCTTTCCATCTCCTCTTCACTGCCCTCCCTATTCCTGATCGTTACATGTGTGCAAAAGGATCAACAGCACCAAATTGGGATCTCACTAGCCTTTCTAGCCCTATAATTTTGTGGAAAACTTTTTTTTTTAACCTTTAGTTTCCTTTGCTGACAACAGCTGGTCCAGAAAGAGCCATTCCACAGAAATGGGGTGGGGAAATCCAATGTGCTCTTGCCAAACAATTAGGTTAATGCACATTGTCTTAATTGTCTTAATCCCCTGATTCTTACATTAGACAGAATGTAATGCTACCCTGAAGCAGGCAAAAGTGAGCCTAAATATTCAGCACGAGAATGTAAGAAAAGTCCTACCATCTAGTCCAGCAGCCAGTTCTCTCAGATGCCTGTGGGAAGGCTGCAATGAGGTTAAGTGCAGCAGAGCTCTTCCCACTTGTGATTCCCAGAAACCAGGAGTCAGAGGGATAGTGCCTCCAACAGGGGAGGTAGGTACATAGCCATCATGACAAGTAGCTGCCTCATCCCCCTTTAAAGCCATGCAAGTTGATGGCCAGCCCTAGTTGAAAACAACTGTGTGTGCCTCCTTGGGTCTTCTCTAAATTTCCCAACATCCAGCTTCATTGGAATGGGCTGCGTTCTCATTACTGAGACAGGGAGAAGAACGTCTCACACTCTTTTTCCACACCATGCAAAATTGTACCCCCCCCCCCCTTGAGGAGGTCTTCATTACCCAGCACTTATTGGCACTCCATCAAATGGGCCAACTATTTCTTCCCTTTCATACAAAACCATCCAAAGTTTAAGCTGACCTATGTCTCATTGTCTGTGACCTGCATATGAACATGGACCTGCATGGGAACTTCAACCATGCCTGTACAATTCTGGGAAATTCCTGTCCCTACAGAACTTACTGATCAATGACCTCTATGCCATTTCCACAAATTGTGTGACATCTTGCCTCCGTTTTTCACACTGTTGTTTTGTGGCACAATTCAGCACTCTGTGAGCAATACTGTACCAATGCTACATGTCCCCAAGAATGATGCACAGTGGGCTAACCAGGCAGTTTTCAAGAAATGGTTGCAAAAGAAATAAGGAAAGGCATAGCCTGGAAGTGACATTACACCCTCCAAAAGATTTATTGGTGATATAAATATGTCTGATAGATGTGAGTAAATATACATGTTTGGGCAAAGAGCATTCACCTTGATCTAGCAAAGCTGCTATGGTCCTTTACTAGATAAAGGCATAAGAGGGTTTTTTAATCCAAACGTGTTGGGCAAATTTACATTTTGAGGTAGTGCTTTGAGATTCTGCCTCTCCTCTGGGGCTGCCCCTCTCTTTCTTCAAGAAACAGTTGGAGGGGCATGTGTCACAGATATGTTTCAGATATGATATCTGACTCTTTCCAATACTGCTACTTGACAAGTGGCATGGGAGAGGAAAACTGCATTTAACAGAAGACAAGATTCTGCTCCTTATGATGCCAAATGGCAGCAGAGGCTTGAGCATGGCAGACAGTTGATGGAGACACATTTTAGGAAAACAACATCCCTAAGGATTACACATACTGAAGCAGTGTGAAGAAAAAGTGGTGAAAATTGGACCAGAGTTTGGAAAACAGGAGGCAAATATTTCCGGGTCCTGAGAATACGTTCAGTTTTTTGCCCACTGCTGGTCTTCATTTTTTTGTTTTCAGTAAGAAAATTGTTCCTGAACAATTATCCTGAAGCGTTCCTCAGTTATCCAGTCTGGAATCATAGCATTTTAAATGCTATGCTTTAATGCTATGCAGTTTGATCAGATCTGCTGGATCAAACAACAATGACAAACCAGAGAGGGCAACAATAAGGAAAGGATCCCACACGATGAGGTAAAATCAGTATCCATTTCCCATCAGAACAGCAGTCACTCCTTTTTCTTTTTCTTTTTTTGTAGGTGACCTTTGGCAAGATGGTCCGAAAGCTTCTCGTGTGTGTCTACACCACAAATTCCTCTGGGAGCTGATCTTCCCCCAAGAGATCCAGAGACAGGCAGTTCATGGACCTCTTCCCATAGAGGGCAGACTTGGTTTTGCAGTCGGCTGTTGAATAAACACATCCATAGCTGGCCAGCTTATCCTCTAAGGCGCAACCAAACGTATAGCTGTGTGAGGTATCTGAAGATAATGTGGCACTTAGTGGAGGATGAAGATACTTGTGAAGGCGGATGTCATCTAGACTATGGCTGTGCTGGTCCGGGCACTTCATAGCTTTGGGCTGTGCAAGCTGCCAGTTTAAGACAAGCATATATTAAAGCAAACAACTTTAAAACAAACAAGCAAGACAAAAGAAAAAGATTGCATGCGTGCAAGCTCCCATCTCGTCTCAAATTGTTAACATTCCTCTCATTCTCTTTAAGGAAAATTGTCTTAATGAAGAAGCTGTGAAGCATTATGGAATTGTGAAGTCATTCAACTATTAACGCCTAGATTCCGAGCTTCAGAACACAGTGTCCCCCTGGCATGTACAATGAACTGAGTGTTGGAAGGGAAGAGTTTGGATGAAACAACGGTGCTTGTCTAGGTTGGAAAAAGGAGGGGAGAGCCAAGAGGGGTGTTGCTTCTTATAGTTAAAAAGTTTGATCATGGTAAGCAGAAGATTAATTTGTCTTCCTTTTAGAATCACCATATTTTGATTGGTCTTTCAATGTCAGCATTTGTCGAGGTTACCATGTCCTTGTGGAGATCTACTGAAAATTTAAGTTTCATGGGATGGACTTTATTGCATGAGAGGCCATAGGAAGGAAGGGGAAAAAATAAGCCACATGGAAGCGGTATAGGAGGAAGAACTCCAAAACTTATGAAGAACTTCAATTTCTGACAATTTCTTATCCCTGAGGATGTACTGAAATAGAAAGGCAATAGGAAGTGCCTTCCTGGGTCAGACGAAAGATCCCTCTTATCCAGCACTCTGTTATTTTCAGTGGTCAGCCAGAGGAGCAAGGAGCCATTGTGGTGTTTTGATTATAGACTGTTGGACTAGGATGGCTGAGGAGATATGGGTTCAAACCCCCACTCAGCTCTGAAACTCACAGGTTGACCTTTGGCCACTCATTCTTTTTCATTATAACCTACCTCTCAAGATGTGAGGAGAAATGGTTTGGGGGGGCATTTATGCTGCCCCATAAGAGGGGAAAGTGGGTGATATCTGGTATTCAGAATAGGAAGCCTCTGAGTATAGAAGTTCCCTTTAGCTATTAAGGCTAGGAGTTGTGCTTATGTTTTTCGACGTAAGCATGCAATAGAATCCCTGTTAACCAATTTTTGGAAATTTCCTGAATGTTATATGTATGATATGGGTGTGCATACTCCGATTTAGTGCTTTGGGAAACAGCCCATTTTAGACCAAGGGGGCTTCTAGGCTGCCCAAGCCAGCTTCATTTCTCTCCCTCACCACTTCATTTCTCCCTCGCCCTCTCAGAAAAATCAAAGAACAGCGGTAACTTTCCCTCCTTTTTGACAGAAGTGGATAAAATTACGTACCTAAAATGGTATGTATGAAGGGGCATGGTATGAAAAAAGGATGACTGCTACCATCAGCACAATGTATATTCAGTTATACAGGAAGCAACGTGCTTCCCTGAACATTTTTTTAAAGCAGCCCTTGGACCACCGTGTAACTTTTATTTGATTTCCAATGGTTTATGCAGATATTTAAAGAATTTTCTGGAATTATCCTAAAAAATCTGCATAGGAACAGGATAGGGAAGTCTTTCATTTTTTATAGCTGGTCTTTCTGCCTCCCTTCTGTAGGGACACGTGTGAGTGTGCGTATCTATTATAGATACAACGCTTCATGCATTTAACTGAGGGCTCTGTGCCACAATAATTTTCATAGTCTTTACAGGTGTCACCAGACATTTCTTTGTTTCTACTACAACAGACTAGCATGACTACCAGTCTGGAACCTATGTAGAGAACCTGTAGCTCTCCAAATGTTGTTGGCACTCTAACCCTGCCAACACAACCAATAGTCAAGAAAAGGGATGGGGAGGAGTTTCCATTCTGTTTGCCTTTAAAGGCAAATCTATCAAATTCACACTTTCTGAAACAATAGGAGAACCAAAGCACAACCATCCTCCAAAATTCATACTTGTCTGAATTTTGCAATGTTTACAAAAAAGGTATATATTCACGGGGAATGTGCATAAATCTAATGTATTAGTGAAAACAGCATACAAAATGCAGCATGCTTGCTAGAGAAATTTGCACTAAAATGTTGGTGAATTTTCATGGGCACTTTTAGGACACAGCTTACAACGTATACCAGCCTCATCCTATACTCTGAATTCAGTGGGTTATATTTCCAAGTAAATGCTTTTAGTCTGCAGCCCTTAATCACATGCTTAACTCTCCTACTGAAATAAGAGAGACTTAAAAGTGCATAACTCCGGCTGGGTTGTGCCCACTAGTTAATCAGAATCAGCCCTGCAGGCTGTCTCAGTTTTAGACGTATAAACCATCTTGTTGAGCACCTTGGATTATGGTGAAGTCTACTGAATTAATTCAAGCTAGGCTTCCTTTGGTGCTGTTGACAGAGTGAGTCTGATTTTACTTTCAGATCTTTGCTGTTATGCTGTGCTGGCGAATGAAACGTTAGATACATTCTTAGCGGAGCAATTTGTGCACTAACCACAGACCGAGAATAAACAGTGGTCCCACAATGCTGAAGTCTACAGTCAAGGGGTCTTTCCCCCCTTTCCTGATGATGGCAACCACATTTGGAACACAGAAACATTAACATTAAAATGTAAAGATAGAAGTATTCTTTACAGACCAGAACGTGATTGCTTAAGAAACAGCATCTGATTACACCACTAGAAACAAAATCCATGAGTTAAACCCAACCCTGTGCATTCTTTATTTTGAGTTGGATCCAGTTTCCCAAGTGATTGGTGCTATCTTTTAGGCTTAGAAATAGATGCTTCAAAAGAAAATGTCCTGGGACTTTAAACCCATAACTCATCCTAATGTGGCATATGATATTTGCCAAATTTCTTATTACAGAGAGTAAATGAGACAAGAGTTTGGTATGGCTCATAGCAACATAGCAACCTGCCTCATACTATCTAGCTCATTGATTCATCCAGCTCATTACTGCTTATATTGATGGACAGCGGCTGTCCGTCTCCTACCAGGAGATGCAGCAAGTTGAACCTGGAACCTTGCAGCTGCTCTGCCACTGAGCTACACCCTTCCCACACCAGCCAACATCTTACCTGGCGAAGCGATTCCTCACTCTGGCCTCTGACCTTGATTAATGTGACTTGCACTACTGAAAGATGGTTCGGATTTGTGTCTGTTGTGGGGGTGGGGAGAGACAGAGAGAGACAAAATCAAAATGATAAGATTCAAACTGAAAACAAAAATGTGGATCAAAGCTTGTAGAGATACTGGTCATGTTCACGTGGTCATGTCTCAGCTTATTAAGCCATGATATATGCACAAGTATTTTGCCCACACATGCCATGCCTCTTTGCTCCTTCCTTGGATATGAGCTGCAATTAAACCAGGAAGGCTTTAATTAGCCATAGTTTTCCATTTCATCTGAATTGGGAAAATACGGCTGCCAGTTTCTGAAAAAGCCAGGATATCAAACCATGGTTTGAAGTGGGTTTAATGCCCTGGCTTGTTCCTGGTTGCCATCACTTTCTATAGCATAAAACCATAAATTATGATTGACTAAAGATTTCCTGGTTTAAGCGTGGCTAGTGGCAAAGGGGGTCTGTAAGTGAATGAAAGGCCTGTCCGAGCTGGCTCCGTATATTGAGAAATGTGATATGGCAGAAGCATCAGAAGGAGAATGCTCAGGTTGCAAATTCCTTGAATTTGAAAGGCATTAATAGTGGGTATCTGCTAGTTCTCTCTTCCTCAAAATATTCCTTACTCCTGGCTTATATTAAGATTCTGTATAGAACACCAGGCAATAGAGTGTTAAATGCACCAGTTACTGCACCCAGTCCTATCCATGTCCACCTTTTGTACCAGCAGATGTTAATAGATTATTCAAATTATTTTCTTAAGCAGGCTGGGGAGAGAGCAACAAGATGCAAGTTTAAGAATTACAATTCTATTTATGACAGTAGGTTCTCACTTCGAGATGCTTGGTTCAAGCAAGTTCCTAGCTCATTGTTACGAAAAAAAGTCATTGTGGGGACATGTATATTTAGCTAAACTTCACACAGGAAATTGGGAATTCCAGTGCTTGAAGGAACTCTGCTTATTTCAGAATTCTTTGTGGCTTTCAGTCTCCACATTTTTGTGCCCCTACGACCTTTTTACATGATGATACCCTGAAATACTTTTCCCATGTTCCACACACCCCTTCACTCCACAAACAGATTTCTTCAAATTTAGTAAAAGAAATGCCACACTGGAATATTTTATGCAAGTCAGAAACTTGAAACACCGTGAAACAGGATGCAACACTGACAAAGTTCAAAGAGTTGCGCAAATACCAGCTCACCCTGGCAGCAAACACCATCTTTTGCAAGCGAATCTACAGGTTTTCCATGTATGACGTCCTCTAACTGAGGCTCATCCACAGGCACCTCTTCCGACTCATCCACTGCCAATTCAACTTCTGAAATTACGAAAGAGAAGGTGGCACAGTGATATATCTTTCTCTAAAGTCCCCTGCTCACCCATTCATCCTACCCACCACTGCTCTTAATTTTGTTCCCACTGAAATTTACAGCATGCAATGCTTTGAAAGAAAATGTGATGAAAATGATGTATAGGTGGTATATTACCCCTGTGAAATCAGCTAAAATGTATAAAACAAATAATAAATGTTGGAAATGTAAAGAAAAGAAAGGAACTTTTTATCATATGTGGTGGGAATCTAAAAAAGTGAAAAACTTCTGGAAAATGATATATAATGAGATGAAAAAGATGTTGAAATATACGTTTATTAAAAAAAACCAGAAACATTTTTACTTAGCATTGTAGGAGATGATATTAATAGACAGGACTGTAAGTTTTTTTTATATGCAATGATGGCAGCAAGAATATTCCAAAAATGGAAGCAAAAAGAATTACCGATGAAAGAAGAATGGCAAATGAAATCAATGGACTATGCATAATTAGACAAATTAACAGGAAGGATTCAAAATCTGTGGGATCAGAGATTCTTAGAAGACTGGAGTAAATATTTGAACTATTTGAAAAGCAATTGTAATAAACAGATTACGCTAGTAGGACTGCAAGAAGTTCTGTAAGGAAGACAATTTGAAATATTGCAAGAAAGACTATGATGAGAATTATTGGTTAAGGATAATTAAAAGTAATAGAGGAATTAAATGAAGAACAAGTGATAAAGAACGGAAAATCTTCAGAAGTGGTTGACAGAAGTCTAAAATATTGTATAAGATAAGAAGTTATGTTAAATGATTGTTGGAAATGATATGTTAAAAAACCCAATAAAAATGTATTATTATTATTATTTTGTTCCCACAGAAAAGAAATACCTGCTGGCCATTCCTTCCAGCCTTACCATCATCCTGAGAGTCCTCTTCAGCTCTCTCTTTGCCACCGCTATCAATGCCAGAGCTTCCATAGCTGATGTTTGAGCTGCAGGACTTCTCCTTCCGATGAACCCGATCCATCCCAAAGGGCTCATCCACCGACATCTCCACTGAAATCCGATGCCTTGAGTCGGCCTCAATGCCCGACGTGTGAGAGCTGCCATGGCTGTCGGTCGACTGTCGAGACAGACGGTTGTTCTTCTCACTTCCTCTGCTGCTTCCACTGCCGTGCGAATGCTTGTCGGATGGGTCAAGGTCCATCTCCAATGTGTCACTGATGTAGGATTCCCGATATCGTTTCTTCTCTGCAACAAGTGAGTAGGGTGGAAAGGAAAGTTTGGAATAAGAGAAACTTAAATCTCTTGCCACCTGTGCTGGCCTGATCACATGACAACACTGCATACAAATAGTGATACATATATTTAATAATTATTATGGTGGAAGGCTCACCACCACCAGAGTCTCTGCATGGAGCAAGTGCTCTTGGGAGTGGCCCTCACAATCTATCCAGCAACCATCAGTCTTACCCAGAAGTGAAGCAAAAGGAAGAAGGGCCATGGAGACAAAATGGCTATAGTGGTTTCTCATTCATAAATCCACCCATTCATTACATTTCCATGTGGCCTGATTATAATAAAACTTTCAAACCTCCAACTCTGTCCATTTTCCATTTTTAATTGACACACCTCATTGGTGGTTAAGAGGATTTTTAATATTTGTTTTTGAATTCTGAAATCATATGTTTTATGACTTTTAAAAATCTTGCTGAAATTTGGAATGATACAAACTAGCTAAATATTTTTTTTAATTGTCATGTTTAAGGAATTGGAAGGGTCCCAGGTGCCTTCAAAAATAGTGGGTTAAGTTCTTCTGTAACAACTGAGGTTAGAATGCAAGGGAGACTGGAGCCACGTTCTCCTTGCACGGTGGATTGTAGCAAACAAGCCATGCCTTCGAAGGATGGCATGACATCAGTGCCAGGTTTTTGTGAACCCTATAGACCACATACATGACCTCTTCTTCCCCACCACAGCTGTCTCTGTCTTGGCTGACTGGTGGCCTGCTTGCTCAACAGTTGCCAGCCGTTCCTCCTCCTTAACTCTCATCTGCCCACACATCACCTCTGGGCCAAAGAGTTGGCAATCAGCCCCGTGGTGCTGGTGAGTGGCAGCAACCAAGAGGCCTTCAGTGCTGGACCTCATGCAAAGTGTGGGCCTTGGAAGGTGTCTGGTCATGGCAGCCACTGATGTTGGCCCTGCCTGCCTCACACCTTTTGAACTCAACACAACTTTCTGACCTTGCAAATATCTTTAAGCTTTTGTGAAAACCATCTGCCCTGTGTTTGCCAGAGGCCTTGGCCCTTCTCAAATGCAAACCCTCACCCTCACTTACCTTCTGCATCTTCCAGCATCTGGATCTGCTTAAGGATGGGTTGGATGTTAAGAAACACACGGTGGCTGTTGCTGAGCAGCTGCAGCAAATGCCGAGACCGGAAAGGGCACCCTGTGTAGTAAACCAGCTTCCGGGCTGAAGGCAAACCATCAGGCTGGATTACAAACTTCTTCCCCTAAATTACAGAGAGCGGAAAAGGAAAGTGCTCTTGGTAAATAGGACTGCACGTTTTATTATCTCTTTATATAAAAAAGCCCAAACCCTGTTATGCATTTGCCAGGCCTGAGCCTTTAAGAAATCATGCACTTCAAACTGCAAGTATCCAAATTAACACTGTCACGTTCTGCAACACTCACCAGAAATGCAAGTTTCCCAATGTGTGACCAGGGGAAGTCATAGAGCAGCTGGCGAACATGGTTCACCTCCTACAACAATGCAAACAAATGGCAAAAAAGGGAAAGAAAACGACATTGTGAGATGCACAGGAACAATAATCAGACTTGTAAAGTCTAGGACACAGGAAGAAGTTGGAAGTGCTGGCAGAGGAACTGTGTGTGAGAGAGACAGAGAGCGGGGTGTTAATGCCAGATTTAAAATCTTTCAACTTCTTACCTGATAGATGTGCATCCCTTTAAGAGTCAGGCCCAAAATGATGGTTGGGCGATCCTCCTTCTTGTCCTGGGAAGACACAAAGGTGCAAGATGAAAAGACAGACTTTGCTTTGGTGATAGTCAAGGAGGCTAGGAGGCTACCAGAACAGGACTGTAGCCTGGACTACTGCTGAAACTGATGCTGCACATATACAAGCTGTGACCAGGATCACTTGTATAAACTACACCCATTTCTTGCATGAGATGGATCTTGCCACCCTCATGCATGCCTTTAGGCAGACCACTGAAACACCCTATGATCTATTTGCAGGTCACACTAAGCCAAACCATGTCCAAGTGCAGGGATTTGAAGGCCCAGAACCACCACTCTGCTCCAGGGGAAAATGAAAATGTTTTCCCTCCTGCTTTTTTCTCTGTCCAATTTTTCTGGTTTTTCCCTGGGCCTTCACACCTATGAGCAAGAGTACAAATCCAGTTCCAGACTTCTCTTTCTGGAAGGGCCCCTGGTTAGGCACACTTGCCCTACTACACAGAAATGGATGCTGATATAATCATAATAATATAAAGTGGAAACGAAAAATAAATTCCTATCAGCATATGAAAAAACAAAACCACACACACACACACTCACACCAGTATTTCAGGTCAGACGGGAATTCAAGTATTAAAGTGACTATTTCAGATCTTTGGCATCCCTAGGCACAAAGCGTGTCAGATCTTGCCCCATATAACCCTTCCAGCTTGTACTTGTGCAGTCTCAATCAGCAAACAGCTTAGTCTGGAAGAAATTGCAGGTGTGGGTAAGTCTTATAAGTGGTAGGCACAAGCAGGGCTTTCCTTTTTATATTTTCATTTATTTGCTTTTCTGATAACCTTCCACATCAACAAAGCATGAACCAAAACGATGCAACAAAGAAAAAGCTTTCCTTTCAAAGATTTCAAAGAATCAACCAAAAATCACAAAACATTCCTTGACTTACTATCATGGTTCCTTTTAACCCCTCTTTTCCTCATGTTTTCTAAGTTCGCACTATCTATCACAACCACTTTTATATACTTTAATTCTTATTCTGTTGAAAATGTTACCATCCTGATAGGCAAATTTGTTTGCGTATAATACTTTTCCATATAATCTATAAATAGTATCCAGTCCTCTTTAGATCTTTCATCATTTTGATTTATTATTCTAGTGGTCATCCCTGCTAACTCTGCATATTCTAACAGTTTAATATGCCAGTCTTCTTTGGTTGACCCTTTTCTATTTTCCATTTTTGCACTAATAATACATGGGCGGCCGTTGCAGCATATAGAAACATTTTTTTCTCTTTATTGAAAACTACTGTTGTTATTAACCCCAGCAACAGTGCTTCTGGGTTTTCAGCAAAAGATTTTAAAACACTTTTTAAAGTTCAGTATAAATCATTTCCCAATAATTTTAAATTATGCTACATGACCACCACATGTGGTTCTTCCTGTTGTTTTACACTTCCAACAGTTACCCTTTATTGATTTTGACATTTTTGCTAATCTGTTGGGTGTCAGATACCGCCTATGCTGCATCTTCAGGAAGTCTTCTCTTAACATATAGCATGCTGTAAATCTTATATTTACTTTCCACAGTTGTTCCCATAGTATAAAATCAATATTATGTCCAAGGCCCCTAGCCCAACTCATCATTGCAGATTTTACTATCTCCTCCATTATCTCCCACTCAAGTATTAAATTATACATTTTTGATAATATTTTGAGCTTGGATCTTAATATCTCTTCAAACTGTGAGCTCTTTTCAGCAAAACTGTATTTTTTGTCGTACTTAAATGTTGCCCTTAACTGGTAGTAACTTAACCAATCTGTCATTTGGTCTTTTATCTCTTCATACTCTGTTTGTATTCCTCCGCAACAAGGTTTAGGAGGATTCTATATGTACTCCAGTTTGTCTCTGTGTTAATTTTTTTTCTTGCCACAGCCTCTGTTGGTGATAACCACATCAGTGTTTTTCTTTTTAATAGGTTTCTTTTTTTCTTTTTAATAGGTTTCTTTTTTTCTTTTTAATAGGTTTTAATATTTTCCCCAAACCCTATAAGGTTTTTTCTGATTATATGGTTTGAGAAACTCTTAAATATCCTTGCCTTTCCATACCAGAGGCACGCACACCATCCAAATTTTAAATCATACCCGTCCAGATCTAATATGTGGGTGTTCTTTAATAAAATCCAATCTTTTAACCAGCATCAGCATGATGCTTCAAAATATATTTGTAGGTCAGGGGGAGCAAAACCACCTCTCTCTTTATTATCATCCAGAAATATCAATGCTGACAAGCAGGGCTTTCCTATTGTCTGCTACAAAAAGGGAATGACCTTGTACACTCACAAATCATCATATTCCACAGAGGGCAATGGAAACCCCTGAACATAGTGAGCTACAGTCTGCTATCTGCAATCCTACTGGAATGACTCTAAGTTTTGAAGAATCATTTGCACTTAAGTGGAGGCCTTTGCTGTAATATTATGCATACTATTGTGAGCTGGGTCAGGGTTGATGGTGGGGAGAATACAGGCTTTGTCTGAGTCAGGTGGAGACATCCCTGGATCGGTTCTGGCCACCCAGAGTGATCTGAAGGTGCCAGGTGGTGGAGCATCAGGTGGGAGGAAAAGGGCAGACTTCTGGTGTGAAGGGTGGATGGGAAGAAGCTGCAGGGGGTCTACCTGGCAAGCACCTTCCTCCCAACCATTATTTCCATTTGTTTGCTTGCTTGCTTGTTGAGAAAAGAACTCAAAATGGCTGTCTGCATTTCAAACACAGCATTTCAATGCTTGAAGCAAGAATCTGCCCAGTTTCACCTTCTGCAGTCTGTAGAAATGGACAGGCACATCTTCCAGCAAGCAGGACTCCTTGACGTACTTCAGAATGGCTTCCCTCGTAGACAGGCCTTGCTGTTCCCGGTGCATCTCTGGAGCGTGCTTCAGAATATAGTCACTCCCTCGCCTTGCAATAATCTGCCACGGGGGAAGGAAAGAGACAACGTCAGCAGCTTCAGTCTCTCTTAAATAGGTCTGCAAGACAAGGTGGCTGAGATCCACAGCATGGTTCGTGAGACTCAGGCGAGGGTACTCCTCCCCCCCCCCCATCAGAAGCTCTTTGAATGGTGCATCATTTAAATATTCTTAAAAAGAAGAATCCTGCTATAAGCCACTAAGTGTGTACTAGGAAATTTCTCAGTGTCTTCCTCTTTAATTACAAGGCAACAACAAAGAGGGGGGAAACCCTACTAATACTTGTGGCAATTGTATTCGTAACCTAAGAACATAAGAATAGGCCAGTGGATCATCGGGCCAAAGGGCCATCTCCTTCAGCATCCTGTTCCCTCAGTGGCCATGGAAACCTGCAAGCAAGACCCAAGGACAAAAGCACTTTCCCCTCCTGTGGTTTCAAGCATCTGGTATTCAAAGGCAGTACTGCCTCCAAACGTGGAGGCAAAGCATGGCCTTCATGGCTGGTAGATATTAATAGTCTTGTTCTCCATGATTTTGACTAATTGTCTTTTAAAGCTTTCCAAGTTAGTGGCCATCACTGCCTTCTGTGGGAGCAAGTTCCATAGTTTAACTATGCCCTTTTAAGTATGGTTCTCAGCTAGGTTTACAAGATTCAATGCAGAACAGGGGAATTTCAGCTGTTGAAAATTTTCCTACTAAAGGGTAAAGAGGCACACACTGTCATTCCTCTGTTTCCCCACCCAAGTGGTGCTAATCATTCCAAATCACTAGAGAAATAATTTTCACAGGGAATCAATCTCTTTGGGTCAATATTGCAATATGCACCTGAAGTTAATAGCCCAAATTAAGACAGAGTATCCGTGTCTTTAATTGTGATGGGAAGCCCCTTCTTTCACAGTGATACAGTGAGATAAGAAACTGCACTTCCATGCAAAACTTTTAGAAGACATCTGAAGGCTGCCCTGGAAGTTTTTTTATGTTTGACATTTCATTATGTTTTTATATGTGCTGGAATCCACCCAGAGTGGCTGGGGAAACCCAGCCAGATGGGTGGGGTATAAATAATAAAATCACTGTTATTATTATTATTATTTATTGTTATTGGTACACAAGTAGCATTCCAAGGCAAGCAGTAGGCAACCCTTCTGAGCAAAGTGACCAGAGAAGATCGAAATAGTATAGCAATAGGAAAAACACAGTGACTTTCTCTTGCTTAGAAGAAGAAAAAAACAACAGGCGGGGTGAACAGGGGGCCCCACCAGGTGGCAGCGTTGAGAGAGGTTTGAAAAAGCAGCAAGTGACTGTAGTGGATGTCAGAGCTGATACCTGCTACAGTCACTGGGAGACTTCTTACCATGCAAATTCTGTGTGCAAGACTGATCGCTTGCCCAAGCAGGAGAAATTCCTTGCAGGCTTCATCTAAACTGTGTGTAATAAGAGCTCATTGCAGTTTAGGTTGTATATCTTATTTCTCCCTTTTCTGAATATCACTCAACACTTAAGAGGCACTTAAACCCAGTCTTTACAAGGGAACAGTAAGCCCTCGAAGGGGATGTTCTTGCCTGAATGTCTTCTATTCCCTTAATTACAGGGAGGCTCCCTCAGGTCGCTGTACCACGGTCTCCCTTTGTCAGACTTCACATGACTTTAATTATCCTCCTGCCACGAAGCCTGATCTTCTTAACTCCACTCTGCCTCATCAGCCAGGTGCCATGGGTCTCATAAGCAGACTCCAAAAACAAGGCTGCCCGCCTGCCAGCTCTTGCCAACATCCTTATCTCGCTACCGTGCACGATGCAGCAATCCTGAGCCATGGAACTGAACCAGAAGCATTTCATACATTATCTCGCTGCAGTGCCCTGGGGACAGGGAGAGACACATCCTACTGGGTGCCAGATTCCATCTCTGGCCGCCAATTCTATCAACGTGTTTACTTGCATGCATGAGCTACAGTTTGGACTTGGGTGCTGCAAGGTCACAAGTTTCAGTGCTTGCAGGGATAAGAAAAGATCCAAGACCCTTTTCCACCTACAAAACAACCCATGCCATACTCCTCACAGAATGGCAATTCCAAGAGTGATGCAAGTTTTGGCTGGGACTTTCTATGCCAAACAGAGAGCTTGCCAGTGTGTGGAGTCTCAACTTGCCTGACCTCTTAAAAGTTGCCTCTCTGATGCATACTCACTTCAGCTCTTCTTGTGGAGGGTGGGGAGGGAAAGCAATATTCATTGATTCCCCCTGCAGTCTGAAAATCTGCTCCAGAGGATTGGGCGGTCCCTTGGAACAACAGTGATAACCTGAGTGCTGCGGATTGCAAGGGGAGTTGATGCAAACTGCTCCCTCCAACAGCAGCCTCTAATGGATCTCAACTGAATGGGGTTTTCATTCACAGTGCTCAGGACGATGGGTTGTACCTAATGCAGAGCCAGGTAAATTCTCACTGTGGCCCCCTCTCTGAAGGCAGTAGCTTTCTGAAGATTATTGGGATGGGTAAACTACAATGAGATGGGGTTTCCTGCTTATGCAAGATGCCTCTACCTGATTTTCCCCCCTCCCACTTTACATCCCAGACTTTTCCTGGGGGGTCTCCTAACCCCCAGGGGCGGCAGTGGTAAGTAGGGGGTAAGGAATTCTCCTTGCATGAATATCTTTACATTCATGTTTCACTGGATATAACCCCACATATTAAGAAAGAGCATGAGTAAGTAATGAGGTGAATTCAGATAACCCACTAAGCCTTTCATGCAAAATCAGGTACAGGAGGAATTTGTGGGTGGGGGGAGAGCTTAAAAAAGAAAAGCTTCTTTACATTTCGTTCAACTTGAAACTCCTTAGTGATTTTGCTTCCCTCTCATAACACAAGACTTACCCACTGTGGGAAGTAAGTCTGAGGTTCAAAGTAGTTCCCCCGGTGGAAGTTCTCCTGGAAGTCCCCCACGTCAACCTGCAGGCCATAAGCAGCCAGCAGGAAGTAGACTTCTTCTTTGTCAGTGCACCGGGACCTCAACACTTGCTCCCGAAGATGGCAGTAGTAGTAATGGCGTGCTACTTTGTCACTGCAGGATAAGGAACAGCATTGGGTTAGAAAACAACAAGAACGGGAGAAGGTAAAGAAAGCACTGCAGACAGTTACCAGAGAATTATCATTCTGATAGAAAAGGCTATATGTGAGGCGCATTATTTTTGTCACCATCAATCATTATGTGATGTTCTAGAGGCCCCTTTCAGGCTGAGTAGGATTTGTTAGGAGTTAAGTCTTTTGCTCTCAGGTCTGACCCTACCATTAGGCAGAGTGTGGCGGCTGCCTCAGGCGGCTGGTTTTGGGGGTCCTAAAAGGCTCATTATTGTACATTGACTGCCAGGGGTGTTTTGGAGAGCCACTTGTGGGATTTTACTTGATGTTATTTATTAAATGATTTATAAGCCACCTTTCAGGGCACAATTGTCCTCTTAAGGCATAGCACAAAACTCCTTAAGACATAAAACGCAGTATGCATCATAACGTTTTCTGTTGAAAGGGCTGTCAGAATAACTTGAATGCCCACAGAATACTTTAACTTCAGCAGGGCAGAGCATTTGTTGTTCTGCCTCAGGCAGCAAAATGTCTTGAGTCAGCCCTGCTCCCTCCGAAGCACAAAATGGGCTGCTTTTAATGAAGGGAGGCAGAAATATTCATCTTGTGCTGACTAAGGTTTGAATGACATGTTGACAGGTGTGTTATAAAGGAGGACAAAGAGACTATCACAAAACCAAGCTGCTTTTCCAGGATTGTAGCCTGGATATATACTTTGAGGAGGGCTCGTAATTACATGGTTTTTGTTTTAATTTAGAAGTTTTAAAAAACAGCGAAAGGGAGGCTGAGGAAATAAAGAGTTCAGTGATCCAGGATCAATGAATGAACAAGTAATACAGTTCTTCCCAAGATCTGATGGTCCCCCAAACCTGTGTGGAAAAGATATTAGCTATCACACACAATTTCAGACAAGTGGATCAACTGATATTATACCAAAACCCTTTCCCAAGAGCTACTATAGAGTGGCAGTAAGCAGAAAGAGTGCAAAAAGAGAAACATGTATAATTCTCAAAGAATTGGGCAACTTTACCTTATAACCCGCCCATTTTCAACATAGTACTGTACTCTGAAGAAAGCAACCAAAGGAGGGCTGAACTTCTCTGTTGCCTTCAAAAGAAAGATGGTAGAGAAAGGAGGGATTACATGATGTCCCTAAGCACATGCACACACAACACTAAAACATGCTTTAGCTTTACATGTCCAAGCCTCTGCTAATCCAGACAGGGCCTTAGGCTTGGACATCCCCTGTTCCAACTCATAGCACAGCAGCTTCAAGGAAAGCACAACTTAAGTAACTCCAAAAGAAGACAGTGAAGAACTCCAAATCATTTGCCCATGTACTTGCACAAAAACCAGTAGATCTAGCTGAAAGGTAATACATGAGGATCTGTACCAATCATTGCAATGCATCCCTAATTATTATTATTATTGTATAATAATATTATTGTATAATCATGGAAAGAGTATGGCTGTGACTACCATGAAGGGACCTTGTACAACTGAGCCACAGACTTCCTCCTTGATTTATAAACTACTACTACTACTACTACTTATTATTATTATTATTATTTATACCCCGCTCATCTGACTGGGTTTTCCCAGCCACTCTGGGCGGCTCCCAGCAAAATATTAAAAACATGATAAAACATCAAACATTAAGAACTTCCCTAAATAGGGCTGCCTTCAGATGTCTTCTAAAAGTCAGATAGTTGCTTATTTCCTTGACATCTGCTGGGAGGGCATTCCACAGGGTGGGCACCACTACCGAGAAGGCCCTCTACCTGGTTCCCTGTAACCTCACTTCTTGCAGGGAGGGAACCGCCAGAAGGCCCTCAGAGCTGGACCTGAGTGTCCGGGCTGAACAATGGGGGTGGAGGCGCTCCTTCAGGTATACTGGGTCAAGGCCATTTAGGGCTTTAAAGGTCAGCACCAACACTTTGAATTGTGCTCGGAAATGTACTGAGAGCCAATGTAGGTCTTTCAGGACCAGTGTTATATGGTCTCGGCGGCCGCTCCCAGTCACCAGTCTAGCTGCCACATTCTGGATTAGTTGTAGTTTCTGGGTCACCTTCAAAGGTAGCCCCACATAGAGTGCATTGCAGTAGTCCAAGGCATGCTTACCCAAGAGTAAGCCCCATTGAACACCGTGGGGTGTTCTTCTGAGTACATGTGCATTGCACTGTGCTATCAGAATCTCAGATCTCAAAATACATTTGAAAGCAGGCAAAATAAAAAAATGGTTTGGGCAACAAAACCAACATTGGGCTAAAAAATGTCCAGTAGTTTCAGCTTCCCACAGGAGGAGCCTCACCACACAACCATGTCAAGAATTCAGTGTCAGGAATTTACACTGGCAGGACTCACTTTGCTTGCTTCTTTCTTCCACTCCTTTGGGAAATATTTGCAAAGCTTCTGCTCCAGGTCAATGAATACATATTCATTGTCTGAAAAGGAGACAGGAGAACTGATAGTAAATAGAAGGCTTCAGGGAGAAACTGACATTTTCAGCAGTGTGACACACACTTCTAATGTTAGTAATTATATATAGGCATAAAATTAAATACGCAATTAAATCATTTAAATTTGAAACCTGTTCTTTCTTTTAAAAGAATTTTCCCACTTACCAAATCTTGGAAATCATGTCGACTGGGCAAAAATTTGAGGAGGTACTTCATCCAGGCCTCTGTTGCCTGAATACATGCAACCTCTGCTATGTGGCAGAGAGAAACAAGGATTGTTCCTACATGGGGCCTCTTTACTCCCAGGGCATAGGGTTTGGGGCACAGAGTGGCAATTTCTCAAGGCACGCTTCATATCCTGTAGCAGCACACTAGAATTAATATTCACACTTTTTATGAATGAAACATTTGGGAATCACTGCTCTAAACTATACGCCTAGCTGAGTTTAGTGGTGCCGTGCTCCTCCTGTTAGAGAACATAAATCGGGTCAAAATATAGTTAAGCTCACAGTTATAATTCTGATTTTTTAAATTAAAAAACAGCAAGTAAAAAGGCTATAATTGAAGAGTACATTCTAAAAAGGATCTAAAATGTCAGGCAAACTCTCTATATAAACACAAAATGCCACACACCCCTCTCCAAAAAGTGCTAGTTTTGTGTCATGAGCTTCTGTAGGCAAGAGCTTATGGCAGGGTTGGGAAGCCTTATGGTTGGGTTCAAAGGCAGCCCTCTAGACCTCTCTGTCTGGCCCTTGAGACTTTCCCCAGGGCATGTCCCTCCTCAAGCCAGACCGAGATGGAAAAACGTGTACGTATGTGTGTGTGTGTGATTTTTGTGTGGTTAAATGCACAAGAGTAAAAAATAACATCCACTGCTCCTCCCACTTTTCCCTCTGGCCCTGGCCACTAATGGAATATGGCCCCTGGAAGGTTGTCCATGAGGAAATGCGGCCCTTAGACTGGAAAAGGTTTCCTACCCCAGCCTATGGCCTCCAACACATGAAGGGGCCGACAAGTAAATGTTCTGCATAGGGGAAAGGGGAAGAGAGGCGCGTGTGTATGGTGGAAGCCAGAGTACCGCTTGCCTTGAGGCAATCCTAACTCACTAGAAGAGACCACACATTTGATGTTCTCTATCAACAAACCTTCCCTCCCCGCAAGAAAACTCCCAAGAAATTAATAGTGTGATGTTCTGGCGCCAGCTGTAACCTTATTTATTTGCCCAGGCTTTTATTTAATGATGGCTGTGTTTTTCTGCTGGCTATGTGGTTTTCCCCCCTGCCCATTTTGTCTTAATGTATATTATGTATTGGGTTTAAATATAATGCCGTTCAGGATTGCTTTGGCAATGAAGAGCGAGGAAAAATGGTTTTGAATAAATAAATAAAATAAAAAGTCACCCCGACAGCAGGCTGAGAGTAGTAGTGGTTACAGATATTCTATGACCATATGGAAAAGCAAATTTATTCATATGTTTGCATAAAATTTGATGATCAATATTATTTGGGAAGGGGGTGGAAGCAAGGGAAGGTAGCGATCAGGAAAGCAGGATATCAAATTGTGGCATAAATTAATAACATAGACGCACATAAGCCAAGCTGAAGACAGTTTTCTTTTTTCCAAGCCAAATTCCTGGTGTAGAGGTTAACCAAAGGAGATGTTGAGGTGTATTATATGGCAAATCAGTATGGTTCACAGTCTTCCAGCTGTTCACTGGAATATGCCAAGCCACACTGATATATGGCCAAGGCAAAGGGCTAAACCAGACTTAAATAACGTGTATGTTTTAAAAAATGCAAATAGCATGAGCTGGTGGGGTGAAGCGGCTGGCTCACACCTCGTGAGGAATTTTTTTTGGTCTGAAGTCAGAATTTGCATTGGGAGAAAAGTCTCACATGGACCCCCTTATGGGGAATTTCACCCCAGCTTCAGGAAAGGAATTTTACCTCAGAACCAAAGCAGGGAGAAGAAGGGGTTAAGCCCTCCTTCTAAGCCACTGAGATTGTTATAGTAAAAATGTTATTTGCATTAAAAGAACACACAAAAAACCCACCCTGCAGTTCAATGCAAATATCCACAGGCCCCAATAATGAGCTACTGCTTCTCAGCTGCTCCAGTCTAGACTGAGGGACCTTACTCCTGAGTAGAGCCAACCCTGAGGACTGGGTACGCATTCTCTTCCTCAGCAGCACTAGGCGCTGGGCTTCCCTTTGTGAAGAATGACCACAAATCCACCTCACATGCTTCGCAACTTTGCACATGAGCCCGTAGTGGTTTGCAAAGTGTTATAGACTGTTTGTACCCTGAAAAGCACACCACTTTATTATTGTTTCAGCAGCATTTCTGGGAAAGGGGACATAGAAACCAAGAATTATTTGTATATGGGGATGGGGGTGGCAAACCTACATGACTCGCTAAGCTGCTTTAGGATTTTATCAACAGTGCGTGATCTCCCTGCCTCCCTCAGCCAAGAAACAGCCCTTCTTTCTTTCCACCTCCTCTCTCCTCAGACGCAGCCTGCAGTTGTGGCCGTCCTCCCATCATGTGCAGGAATGCAGCAATACATTCCGACTCTAATGAGGTTAATATTGTCAAAATGCCAACCTGCAGTGTAATCCTTAAGCTACAAAAAACACCCCCTCCAGCTTTCTCACATAAAAGCAGAGGGTCCAGTCTGTCCCCCCCCCCCAGTTAAGTGGATTAAAGGTTAAGTTTACAGAGCCTTGTCATGTGTTCCAAGTTGCCTCTTTTTTTTAAAAAAAGTGTGTTCCTTTGATTACATGAAATTTGGGAACAATTTCAAGCTGATTACAGCGGAGGTGTTTGCGTGGGGTGGGGGGAGGACTTGGATAGGCACACAAATTGGCCAGTTTAAGTGTCGCTCGCAAAACACGCCAGCGCAAAGGCCAAGTTTCACTGGTGCCAAGGCTCAGCCCCCAAACACTCATACTCAGTCTCAATGGCTCAGCTCTGGAATCGAAAGCAGTAACAAGAGTGTTTTTGAGAATGTACAGAGCACATTTTCTGCTCCACTGAGTAAGCACAGCTGGGCAGCACGCATCTGGGGAGAAAGGCTGATAGCAGCATAGGATCGCCAGGTTGACTTGAGTACTGACATTACGTATTTCAGGTTACAATCCTATACGCACCTGGGAGAAAGTCCCATTGAAATCAATGATACTTACTGAATGTGTGTGTATGATGTGCCTTTGCAGGTGTACCCATAAACATTCAGGATCACTGCTGGTGAGCTGTTTACTTGATTTCTGTAGGATGCTATGACATATAGGGAGCCTTTGTACCCTGAAGTGTATGCATATGCAAATGAGGACCACGGAGGACAGCAGACAGTGGCAGGTCCAGTGGGCTGGATCCCAATTCTGCCCTCTACGCGTTCATTCCTACTTGGAATGATCACCAGCACAGGATTTGTGAATGCAAATTATGTCATCCAATTCGTGGTAATTATCTTGATTACAAAGATAGGGGCTGGATTTCCCTTCTCCTCCCCCTGCATGCTGTTCTAGGGGTTCTCCTGACACCCCAGAGCCCATCTGGGATGGGGTTCAGGGGCCTCTGCAGAGGAGAAGAGGGGAGGAAAGCCCCACTGATCTAATGGGACTTGTGGCTCTTGTCTCCTGTTAGTGAAAACTATTTAGTTAAATGTGGCTCAAGGAGTCATACTCAGAGAAGACCCATTAATTAACCCAATTAGTCATATTCAATAGGTCTACTTTGAGTAGGATTAGCCATGAATACCACCCAAGGGGCCTAAATATGGGTGCGATATGAGTTTCCTTCAGTATAACGACAAGGAACCTGTGGTCCTCCAGATGTTAGGCTGCAACTCACATCAGCGCTGACCATGCTGACTGGAGTTGATGGACTTCCAGCAATATCTGGAAGGTCACAGGCTCACCACCTCTGATAGAAAAAGGTGGCTGAATTTTATTTCATCTTGAAAACTGTGAACGTGCATCAGTCCATGCATTGCTGCTGATATCACTTCACCCAGTACATTTTAGGGGTAAACTAAGCTTTAAGGCAGGTTTGCCTCTGTCTAATGAGTGAAATGGCCCTAAGCAAAGGTGGATAGTGAAAACATCCTTTGTGTAAGGAGTGGTTGTTGATTCAGAGCAACACCTGTAAGTCTCCAAACTGCTTATCCCCAATTGTGCAACACCTGGGAGAGCAGTGTTAGCGTATTAAGGCAACCTTGTAGGGAGGACTGGGAAACCAAGACCAGTTTCTCCTCTCCTATTAGATCCTGGCGAGCATCAATACAGTCAATGTTTGTTTTATCTATTAGGCTTTCCAAGTTCTGAGAGATTCCACTTGTGAGTCATATTATATACAGTACTGGTATCAAAGTGACCTGGATTATCGAAACGAATGCTCTGGCCTACTGGTATGCTTCTTCAGCCTTCTCTGTAGAATAATTTAATCACGTTCAAACTCCTCCAAATGTCAGTAAAAACAACATTCCTCACAAATTATGGCTTTGAAAGCACTGAATACATCCAGTCCCAGACTTTCTAGATACAACCTCACCATACAACCAATATTTTAGAATTCTATCTAATGGAGAGGGAGAGAAAGAGATAGAGATAGAGACAGAAGACAGACAGACAGACAGACAGAGAAAGAGAGAGAGAGAGAGAGAGAGAGAGAGAGAGAGAGAGAGAGAGAGAGAGAAAGAAAGAATAGCTTTATAAGACTAAATTTAAAAGCTCAAACCCCTCCTTTTTCTAATAGACATGTTCACAGGCCAATGATAAAAGGGCTTTGACACGATGCTCCTGACTAGCGACCACACTACACTGAACGTCTCAGACCTACATCCAATCCCATGGATACTTCTGAAACAATTTCTCTCCATGCTTACTTTTTACAACACTGATGCCAAAGAAGTGAGGATCTTTAATTCTCAGTGCGTCACAAACTTGCTCGAAGAGTTCCTGTCCAGTGGCTTTTACCTACAAAGGAAAAGATAATGGTAAATAGTTTACCGTTTGAACAAGATAGGATAGTTTCCCCTTGCCTGAGAAAACGTAACAGGTATTTGGACAATAAAAAACCTGAAGGAGTAAAGTCCGTGCCTGAGCAAACCTTCGTAGTGAGGGAATTTGCGCTGCCTCGTGGCTCCATGCTCCATTGCATCATTGCATCTGACAGCGTGAACCGAACATACTGCCATAAAGCACATCCACAGCTGGATGGAAACAATTAAGATTACTCTAGAATCCAATCTCTATTGCTAACATGTATATTGCTTCACAGTCAGTGAACTTAAGCCAGCTTAATGCTGTGTTAGATAGACAGTGGCCAGTATTTCATAGTGATGAATTAGAGGCAATATTATTACACATGTAAAACAGCGCCATGTTGCATGATATACTGTTGTGCAATGGAATCACAGGGCAATGCAGCATAGTAGATAGGGTGGATGAATCTGAAAACTGGAGGTCAGGGTGAAAACCTGCTCAGTCATATAAAATCATTTTGCATGGTTCCCCCTCCCCCCCCATTAAGTGGATTAAAGGTTAAGTTTACAGAGCCTTGAATGTTTTTCAGCAAGTCACAAGTTGGGATTTCAGACATATCATGATGCCATGGTTTGTTTATCACAACCTAACAACTTGCCCGGTAGCCATTTGCAACCAGGAATTCCATGCAGGCAAATGTGTAGGCTTGTGAAGGAGACACAGACCTCTCCATTTTTCCTTGGCCAGTCCTCTTGGTGTTCCCATCCAGCTGCTTATGCTAGATGCTAGTATTCTGTGTTTCCAAGCTGGCTACAGAAGAGCATTTCCCCTTCTCCTCTGCCAGACTGGGAACACACTCAGGAGGCCAGTAAAAAACAAAAGAACTACAGGCTAGTAACTTTTATGGCCTGATTTTCAAGACTGGGCTAGTACAACCAGGAGTGAGGAGCCACAGGCTCAATTGTTGTATGTGGCCATTCCATCTCCTCTATCTGGCCCTTGTCATTCTTAACGTATTATTACTGTATTTTTACTTCCAGGGAGAGCAACTTGCAGGATTTTCTGCCTGGCGTGTCGAAATAACCTGCACAGCCTAGAGTACTCCCCCTCATTATAAAGGTCTTCCATCAAGGTGACTGAGGCTGAGTCAGTCCCAAACTCAGGCCTGAATCCATACTGGCATGGATCCAGATAATCAATCACATCCAGGAACGTCTGCGGTTGTTCTGCCACAGATGCTGCAAGAACCACTTTCAAGAACAAAATGAAATAGATATGTGGCACTGAGGGAGCATGGGAGCGGAAATTCAGAGACTGGCTTCATCATTTGAGACCCTGTTGCAGATCTCTCAACACCATGAGGCACACTTGGCAGTGGCCAAAGGGGTGGGGTGGGGTGGGGTGTCTGTAGTGGCACTCACATTATGCCAGTGCTTTGTGCCAGGCAAGCTGGATCAGGCCCCCTCACTGTACTGTTTCTGATGGCCACAAATACATTGCTGTTTAAAAAGGGCTTTGGCTTAACATTCCCCCATTCTGGCATTCAATTCTGATGACTCTTTTGTAGTTGTTATTGTTTTCTTCATTTTCATGCTGATATTTTGATTTAAAATTTGGTTGAATTGTGTAATGTTTTATATTTTATATTATTGTTCACTGCCTCAATATATGGGATATATACCCACATGCTTGTGAAAGGAGGAAGGGGGTGGGGGGAAGCATATAGGTTTGAAAAATGCCGAGAGATGCATGGTTACTTGGATCTAAAGTCCACTGCATAAAGCCAAGTGACAGAATTTCAATTTGGTAGAATACAGTCCCACAAAACCTCCTGCAGCGTTAGGAAAGAGAATGGGAATATCAAACAAAGTCCTTTCCTTATCAAGATGTGGATCTATTCATGAGCTTCTTGCATCCTAGTCAGTAAATCTCCCTTCCAGGAATTCTGCAAGTATTAATAAGGATCTTCACACACTCTGAAATGCAAAGTGTGATGCAAGTCCCGCTTCCTTATTCCTGGAGTAGAGGCAGAGCTAAGAACACAACTCTGGCCTCAACAAGCCTCTGAAAGAAGCACTTTCTATGTCCTGGGATGCACTGCAAAGCCTTCTTGGTCCTGCATGCTGACCCTTCCTAGTTTTTATGGGCAAATAAACCATGCACAAAGTAGAGCCTTTTCTGTTCAGCCGCAACTTGCCAGAACTCAGTTCTGGCACCCCTCAGGTGGGTACCATTGCCATTCTAAGAAAATGAGGGAGGTGTTCATGGTGAGTTCCGGCACCTCTTTTTCTAGAAAAATAGCACTGGCACAAAGTATTTTAATCCTTCTGGAGACACTAAATCAATTCTGTTCCATGGGAAGAGGGAGCTGAGGAGGGAATGAATCGGATAAAGAAAATGGTTCTATTTTAAGTAGCCTTTCAAGGGCCAAATTTAATGCTACAAAGATGGGGCATGCAGATAAAAGAACTCATTTGAGAAATCAAGATTACCTTCTTTAGTGGTAGCACCCTCTGAAAGAAGAGCTACTGGGACACAGATAATCAACTAGGGACTTACTTGATGGAAGTTCTGGTTCCAGTACTAGTAACTCGGGTGCACACCAGGACATAGACAGCTACTGCCACAAGGAGAAATAGTCAAACCACTTCTTATCGTGGCTGCCTTCCTGCCACAAACTGTGATGCGTGCAGCAACTCACAAGAAAGAATGAGAGTGACTTTCACCATACTATGGCTACCTCCCTCACAATGGAACATAGAAAGCTCTCTTATCCAGAGTCAGACCTTTGCTATCAACACCAACCTTCCCCACCTGCTACACCCTCCAGATGTTGCTGACCCATGCTCAGAAGCTGTAATGTCTCTGAATACCAGTTGCTAGAAACCACAGGAGGGGAGAGGGCCTTTGTGCTCAAATCCTGCTTGAGGGTTTCCCACAGGCAACTGGGTGGACATTGTGAGAACAGGATGCTGGACTGCATGGCCCATTGGCCTGATCCAGCAGGCTCTCCTTAAGTTCTCATCAACTCTCATCATTCTATCTACTGGCCAAGCTGGCTGGAGCTAATGGGAGTTGTAGTCTAAAACATCAGGAGAGCACCAGGTTGAGCCATACTGACTGACAGTGGCTCTCTGGGGGTTTCAGACTTCCCTAGCCTTCCCTAGTGATGCGAGGGAGTGGACCTGCAATCTTATACATACAAAGCATTTGCACCACCTTTAAGCCCAGAAAAAATAGGAAATCGCCTCATATATGAAGCTCATGATCAGCTGCTGACCATGAATGACTAACTGCAGGAAGACCACTGACATGGCCAGCAAGCAGATGAGAGGAGCCTCTCCCTGCCATTTTGCACGTACCACACTTGATCGAAATTGCCAACAATCGACGGAATTCAAGCCCATTTGAGCTGCTGATATCACATACGCTCTTAGCAGCATGGTCTGGGTCATTGGTATGCCCATTACGTAACAGACTGTTCTGAAATATTATAGACCACTGTGTTGATGCCAGAAAACTAGAGCATCCTAATTCACCACTCACTACGCCAAACTAGATTGTCTTGTTTTAATGAAGACGCTTCGCAGCAATATTTTGGTAATAACGTATGTATTGAAAAAATGGCACTCTATGGGGGGGGAAAGAGTAGGGTTGCCGTATTTCCAAAACTGAAAACCCAGACAGAGGTGCATTTCCCCCTCCTCTGAAACCTGCCTGTTCCCTCACTGCCTTTGCACGCACCTTCTCTGCTGCCCCTCCACCTCACAAAATTCTCCCTCCAATATCGCAAGCAAGATTTATCCCTCCCTCCCTCCCTCCCATCTACCTGGCCTGTCCTCTGCTTCCTCCAGCCTCGTGAAGCCACCACCCTCCTCATGGAAGCAGCGTCTGTGCACTCCATGCTCCACTCTTGCCCGCAAACCACCACCACTGCCTTTTCACTTCGCAGGCTTGCCAGTCCATGGGGGGCGCCCTGGTCCTTCTTTGGATGCCCAGGGCTCTGGATGACAGCATGCAGCCGACCTCAGCATCACTGTGGGGGCTGCCGCTGCTGCCGGCAATGTATTCCACCCCCATTGCCATACATCCCGGTTTCCCCACACATTTTGCCAATTCCGGAAATTTCACCCCGAACGCCGTTTTTAAGGGCAGAATCCCAGATTTGTCTGGGAGACCCCGGATGTGTGGCAGCCCTAGGAAAGAGAAGAACCCAAAAGAAGCCCTTAAGTCCCAGCAGATGAATGAATCAGACTAATCCAAGGGACAGTTTATTATAAATTCCAAGTCTTTCTCTACCGAGTTCCATTTTTAAAAGACTGCCCTTTGGCAAAGTGTCATCTGTATACCAAGTGACTCTCCCACCACTTAGATCTTTGATGGAGCGCTGTACTTGCTAGGTATAATCCACACTGCAGTATGTCAGTTGGTGTGTAAGTTCAGGTCATCCCCTTCCTATCACTCACAGAATCTTTCAAGAGCTCAGAAATCTCCCGCTCTTTAATCCGAAATGGGTTGTTTTGACAAAGTGCCCAACCATCAAGCAAGTATAAGCTTAAAAGTTTAAATCGTGAGTGTTCTTCCAATTAATGGGTTTCTTCAAGCTACTGCCACAGCAGCGTGGGAACCATATTTCTTGAACTCTGTGGGTGCCCTTTAATCTGGGGGTGGGGAGGGGAACCGCCAGGAACCTGCCCTCCCAAGGTCAGCCGCATTGTGGTGCTTACCGGGAGGGGTGCGGTGGTGGGTAAGTTGTAACGGTTCGGGTGTTGTGGCAGAGTCAGCCTGCTATTGTTCCCACCCCAGCCTCCTTGCTACCTTGGATCTTCCAGTAAGCAGAGAAATGTGACTGACAGCAGAGCAGGTGCATGGTGCCACCACTCCCTGCTTAAAACCTTCTCCTAGTCACGTGGGGGAACAAATCCCCAAGTGGCTTGCAAATTGTGCTAGGCACGGTCAGTTATATTCGCCTTTATCATGGATTTAGCATCCTTGCTGGGAAGAGCAAGGTTCACGGCAAAGACCCACGCGATCAACCCTGCCAACATGGTTGGGTCATTTAAATTTTATCCCAGCCCCATAGAATCTGCTCTTGCAGAAATTGCTCATATCTATTAGGAGCTTGTCCACACGTCTGTTTGTACCGTGCCTAGAAAACATGATTCCAAGTGGTTTCCTCCTTGCCCCACTCCTTTCCCAGGGTAAACCTGCTCTTTAGCTTTGAATTGGAACAAATGGCAATCCGTGGAGAACCTGATTGCTGTTTGCTCTGATTGAGCACTAAAGAGTAGTTTCCTCCAAGGGACAAGAGGAAGTATGGATAAGCCCTAGGAGAACATTTAAAGAATGCTGGGTGTAAGGTTGTTTGTGTGAGTGTCACACACACAAGGACTGCCCAGTCAGAAATAAACAGATGCTAGACAGCTTCCTATTTGTCTATCTAGATTAGTCATGTCTACTCTGACTGGCACTGACTATTCAGACCTTAAGCAGAGGTGTTTCCCATTATCTGCTACCTGATCCTTTTAACTGAGGATGCCATGGACCTTCTGCATGAAAAACATGTGCTCTACCACTGAGCCATGGTCCCTCATCTTGAAGTAGACTGGCTCCAACCAGGGCAGTTCCAGAGCACAGATGCTTACTGCACCAGTACTGGATCTCACCATGGAAAAACAATTCCTGTGCTGGTAAAGTGAGGTGTAAAGGTGGATCAAAACATCCATGGAAGCAGATGAGACCAGCTCATGGTTAAATTGATCTGTTGCAGGCAAAAAAGAGATTATTGTGGTAGTGGTGACAATGACAATTCTGTCACTGCTCTTATGACTAATAAAGAAAAATGGCCCGATGGTGCATCCCTCAGCCTGCTAGCTAATAGGTTTCAAACTGTACACTGAAGGGCAATATAGTCATGAACATTTAACTGATGCGCATGGACTTTGAGGCTGCATACACATGACTACTTACCATGTGATCATTGCAGCATGTATGACAGAACAGATGAGCTATCCCAGTAGCTATCCTAGACAGATCCCTTCAGAAATAATGGGAGTTCAATTGCAAGTAGAGTCTTACATAATGGCTGTCACATCAGAGGATTGTAGGAATCCACCCCATTCTGTTAATCCCTGTTAGTTCACTGTTGGGGTCCACATGGGACCTGGTCTGCTGTTTGTACACTACCCCCCAAAAAAGCTCAAGGGCTGAAATAATTGGATATTTGCTGAATCCATTCAAGACTGTAGCTGTATACCCACCAGACATTTAAAACACCTTTAAAGCTTTCTTCTTCTTCCAAAGAATCATGGGAACTGTAGTTTACCCATCACAGAACTTCAGCTCCCAGGATTCTTTGGGAGGGGAGGGAATGTGCTCTAAATAAGCTTTAAATTTATGACATGTATGCAGCCTGACTTTTCTTTTCCCTCTATTTCTGATGTTCAGGCTGTGCATGCCATTGCTGATGTATGCAGAACAGCCTACCCACGAAAAGAAAGGGGCATCAGCAGGCTTGGCGGGAATCCTGAGGTTTGCAAAAGTACAAAAAAATCATTAGAAGTATGGGGAAAACACCTAACTGGGAGGCGGGGATAGTCCCATGGGAACTGTGTGCTCTCAATGGGCATGGAATTCTGGGTCAACATGGCTGAAATTCTGGACAGGAGCACTGCAGACTGCAGGATTTTGTTGGATTTCCAACGTGTGCTCCCTTGGCCTGAAGCGAGATGAGTGCTGCACCCCATAGTCACCTTTGACTGGACTTAACGGTCATGGGGTCCTTTACCTTTTTTTTTACTATTCCAATGTGTTACTATTCATAAAGATTGCCTATGCTAGACTGGGCAGAAGGTAGACTGAGATCTACTAGTCGGTCTCTGGGTGATTTGATCAGCAAGGATTTCTGACCCTCTCTTATCTATCACAAGCAACTCCCCTGCCACTGGAAAATAGGATGACATCCAAATAATATCCCTTTAAAGGGCCATGTTACTGAAAGTGGGATAACACAGAATAACCCCTTTGATCATTTACTTTGAACATATACTGTTCTATTTCCCTCCAGAGGGGACTTGAAAGTGATGGAAACTTTATACCTATCAACAACAAAAGGCTTTCTAATAAGCTTTCTCTTCTTTATAGGTTGTTGTCACTGTTGTTATTATTGCAAGCCCGGTTTTATTGGCCAAACACATGAAAAGGAAAACAGGCAGTTCTATGCATGGAAATAAATAGCTGGCCTTTTCAAATACAGACCCCCCACTAAACAGGTGCATGTTGCATAAAAAATGTGAATCTTGAAATAAATCTGAGCCTAGTAAACAAGACTACTTTTTGTTCATTGAGACATGGATTGTGAAAATCAGGAAACTGCCCTTTTCTCTTTCTTAAAACAGATAAATAAATAACGGAGCCCTGAAACTACTTCCCATTAACATTTTGAAGTGTATAAAAGCTACCACAGACAGTGAAATATATCATTCTTTACTTTAAATATTGGGGCTAATAATTAACATTTAATAGTCACATTTCTGTAAGGGTCTGTTTTAGGGAGACTTTGCATAATATAGCACCACTTATATTTTGCCCCATATTATACTGTGCAAAATATGTTTCCTAAACATCTTCTGTGTTGGAAAAACCAACACAAATGCCTGAGTTAGCAGACAGATGTGTGTCTTTACTCATATGCAAGTGGACCTTTGGTTTTCAAATGCTGTAAAACCATTAGGGAAGATGAAAAAGAATTTAAGAAAAACAGTCTCTGGTCATCAAATGTAACAGAGTTCCTAAATCCACAGAAACAGATCCTTCAGCTAGTCTTGTCCTGGTACTGACTGGGGTAAATGGGATGATCTTTATAGATAGCTTGTTGTTGGTAAGCTTTCTGTAAACAAAAGACTTCTGAGGCTCCGTTTTACCACTCTCACAAGCTACTCAAATACATTCTTTTGCGTCATTCATGCTGGTTTCCCAGAAGGCGGCAAGAATAGACTTACCCCAACCATCACATTGAGCTGGTCTCGGTTTGGCAGGAGGACGCACATGTTTCTAAACTCCGGTGGCATCTTGTTTTGCAGAGCTTGCTTGCTCATTGCAGAACCGGTTGCAAACTTCTCATACCCACTCCGCCACGTAACGATGCAGCAGCCAGAGTCTCAGGAACCAAGCCAACTCCTCTCTCTCTATCCTCCGAACCTGAGAAACACAAATCCTTAAGAGTTTGTTGTTCAGGAAAATAAAGGTGGACGTCGCGAGCGGCAAGAAGCTGATATGTTAAAGCGATCTCTTGAGCTTCATTCTAATAACCAGCGCTAACAGCCAAGCGTCTCCCAAGGCTGCATTCACTGGGGCAGAGTCATAAGTAATTCCAGCATTAGTCAGCTCTTTCGACAATTAACGGCTGGTTACACTGGGCTCGGGAGAGTGGCACACATTCCCTTCTCCTGAGTCATTAGCCTTGTCCCCCTCATGCCAAGTATCACAGTCCAGGGTTTTGTTTTGCTTTGTGGATTTGTCTCACCTACGTGGGCAATCAGCCCTCAAAGGCACATTCTCCCTCATCTGAGTCACTGGGAAGTAACGCAAAGAGCAAGGAAGAATGGGGAGAGGGAATCTGTAGAACACCAGGCGCAAGATTATGAAGTCAACAGTAAACAGTACCACAGGATGGGCAGCTTTCCAAAAGGTGAATCAGGAGGAAAAAACCACATTCACGTGCCTTTGTGAGTTAAGGAGTATTAGTAAAAGTATGTGGGGAGGAATTTATTTTCTTTAAATGTCAGCACAGAATGATTGTAGATGACACTGGATCTCGGTGGAAGTGAGACACAAAGAAGGTATACACCATGCTGTCTAATAAACCATTGCTGCATTAGTGTTTCTCTGAAGACAAGATGCCAAAGGGGCCATTAAGTGGAGAAGAATTATTACCCAGACACCTTGCTTGCATCTGGCTGGCTACATCTAGAAACAGGATGTGAGACTAAGAGGACCTTTGGTCAGTTGGGTGGCCAATGTTTCCCATGTTACAGAGGAGAGCCCTATCTGTGAAGGACTGTCCAGTCCCAGCCCAGTCTAAAGATACAAAGAACCCTAAGAAAGGAGAGCAGGAGAAATCTTGAAGTTGCCCACCAGCTGTTAGCATTTGGGCAGCAGACTAAGAAGCCACACAGGTCAGTCTTTCTCACTCCAGTGTGATGTACTGTATTCAATTTAAGGTAACTGTTTCAAAATTTGCATCTATACATCCACATTGGCATATGCTCCTTTAATTTATTCATTTATGTTGAATAAGAGTCCACACCACCTTTCAGGAATGAAACCCTTCTCCAGGCAGTTGGGCTGGGGTAGCCCGTGTGGTGATCTCCAAATGTTTTGGACCTCAGCTCCCATCACTCCTGGCTACTGGCCAGGCTGGGACAGGTGGGAGTTGTGGTCCACAGTGTATGAAGACCACCACATGGGCTGGCGCTGGTAGAATATCTCAAAGTACAACAGTAAAGTGCAATAGATATTACATGAAAACATTCCGTATTATTAAAGCTAGTGACCAAGAGCAGCCCAGTGTTAGAAAACACAACAAAAGACACCACTATGCTAGCAAATCCCCACATATACTGTATTTTTCGCCCTATAGGACGCACTTTTTCCCCTCAAAAAATGAAGGGGAAATGTTTGTGCGTCCTATGGGGCGAATGCAGGCTCCTTGGCTTCAGCGATAGCAACGCAAAGCCTCCAAAGCCTGCGCTCTGGATGCTTCACGTTGCTTTCGCTGAAGCCAGGAGAGTCTGCTCTTTGAGGCTGGAGGTAGCTTCCCCCCACCGCCAGCCACACAAGCCTGGGGGGCAGCGGGAAGGCACGCGATGCCTTAGCGCTGCTCCCCGACCCGGCTTTGAGGCTGGCGGTGGGGGAAGCTGGGTCGAAAAGCCCACAAGCTGGGTCGAAAAGCCCGCAGGAGTCGCACGCTCTTTAAAGGGTGTGCAGCTTCTGCGGGCTTTTCTATGAGGTGGGGGAATTCCCTCCCCTCGTAAAAAAGCCCACAGGAGCCATGCACCCTTTAATGAGCACGCCGCTCTTGGGGGCTTTTCCCCGAGGAGGGAGAAGGGACTGACTGGCTGTTTCAGTCCCTTCTCCCTCCTGGTCGAAAAGCTCGCAGGAGTTGCGCGCGGCTCCTGTGGGCTTTTGCAGGAGGTGGGGGAATTTCGCCACCTCCCGCAAAAGCAGGGAGAAGGTCTTGGAGTAGCGCACAGGCTGCGTGAGCCTGTCCGCTGCTCCCAGAGCTGTGGGGGGGGGGGAATCATATTTTTCCCTTGATTTCCCCCCCTGAAAACTAGGTGCGCCCTATGGGCCGGTGCACCCTATAGGGCGAAAAATATGGTTGGTAAAAGGTACAAGTTTTTCAAGACAGTTGGAAAATATCCAGGGATGGGGACTAGTTTCATGGGGCAACTCTATTCCACAATTGTGGGGCCACCACCAAAAAAAAGCCGTAGCTCATGTGCTTGCTAGGTTAACTTCCTTTGTGAGTGGGCATTTCAACAAGGCTTTATTTGCTTTAATGTAAATCTGTCCTGGCTGTTGATCTTGTTTTTTTGGTGATGTGGAAGTGGTTACCTTTTTGGTGTGATAGAGCAGGGCCTAGGCAACTCCATGCTTAAGGCTGACCAGTGAAAGTCTTTCTGATAGTGGGGAAGGGGAGGAATTATGTCAGATCCACAGAGAAATGCAAGGACCTTCTAATAAAGGAAAAGCAAAACTCCAGGGTCAAAGCAAGCTAAAGGATGACAATTTTGGAATGAGACATTATGTAATCATGTCTTTTTTTGGCTTCACCTAGCTGCCATTCAACAGTTGTTAGGACAAAACAAACTCTGAGCAAGCCGTGCTTACGGGCTCAGTAAACTAGCACATTGGAACTCATTTTCACCATGCTGCCTCTGGATGTGCCCAATACTCAGACACAAAGAACAAAATTCTTAATATTGCAGGTGGGCATGTCATCAATGCTGTTTTTACAGCAAATGCAAACACCTGCCCATCACTTCTGTGGCTCAGATTTATAGGTTCTCTCTACATAACAAAAATAGGCCTTGGAAGCTCCCATACCACAACAAGAGTTGATTTTGTGGTATTGGGGAAGCTGTGCTCTTTTGACTGTAATTAAACAAAGAAAAATTCTGCTAACCTAAGGACAGAAGGATTCTGTGTTCTGGAGTTAAATAATTTTGCAGGTGATTTCCTTTGCTTTTGTAATGTATCTTGCTAGACCTGGGAAATTTCAATAAAAGTATGGAGGCCACTAGGGCAATGGAATTTCTTTTTCCAGACACCCCTTTCCACCCTAGTAAGAACATTCTCAAATTGCTATGAGTAAAAATAGAAACATAATAATAAAAACCTAGTTCTGTTATATTTTAAGTGATCTGGTTATAGTGTTATCAGCCACATGTTATTAGGAGAGTCTATCCAACATGTGGCATGAATCATTAAAGGCTAGCCACAACAGTTAAGGGAAGAAGGAAAGTAGGAATAATGTCATTTAGTAGGGGATGAAAAATGGAATTATAACTCACCAAGGTTCCTAGACTTCTCTTACAGAGAATCAAATTATAGGGATATTAAATATATGGAAATCATATTCCTACAGTTTTTTGTGAATAACAAAATCTTGTTGAGGTTGAATTGTGAGGATTCTCACTAAAATCAGCAGGGCATTCTAGATGAGCAACATCTAGAGACCTCTAGAAAGAGCTGAGGTGTCTCCAAGTTGTTTATCCAGACTACAATGGAAAGAGGCCACTGGCTTTTTTTGTTATTCCTAGTGATATTTTTCTAGAATAGGATGTGCCAGCACTCACAATGATGCCCACCTGAGAGGCAATGACACCCACCTGAGAGGTGCCAGAACTGAGTTCTGGCTGAAAAAAAGCCCTAGTTATCCTTTATTCCAAAACATTACAATCCTCCAACTCCTAAAGAACATAATGGACATCAGATTCCATTGTTGTGAAATGCCTCCTATTTCTGTAAGGTGGCTCTGGTAGCTGTGTGTGTGTGTGTGTGTGTGTGTGTGTAGCATTTATTTATCAATTTGACAAAAATTATACACCACTTGATTGTATCAAAACCTCTCAGGGAAAAACTGATCAGGGAACCTTGTTCTCTCCCTCCATCAAGCTGAATGGTGCTAGTAGCAACAGTCATTCTGGCAATATAGAAACTCTAAATAGGTGGCAGGATGGGGGGGGTGCCACTTCTGCTGGGCTCTTCTTGTCCCTGCTGGTTCTTGTAATGAGTGTGACTTTACTGCATCTTGAATTTCCAGGGTGACAGCAATCAAATCAAAGAAGACGGGGGAGGGGAGCCCAATAAGGAGGTAAAAGAGAAAGGAAGCTTCTCATGCCCTGTTATATATTGAAGGAAGCAACCACTGCCGTTACTGGACTGTATATGCACCTTGATGGTAGCTATTCCTGCGATTAAGAGAGTATTTCACAGTATTGATGCAATACCACAGCGTAGCTAATTCATGTTAGCCATGGGCAAACATGCATAGAGATTAAGGTTCTCAGTGTTCTCAAATCCGATGGTGTAGCTGTACCATATAGTTATAGTGTGGGTGTGTTATCTAAAGTGTATACTATGCCATAGTGGAGCTGAGGCCCATTGGTCATGGACAAGTATCTCCATGTGAACATGAAGGTGATCTATGTTCTTAGATCCTGGGGAGATCAGAGACCCTGGTCCCCTTCAAAACATGCCGTCTCCTTCCAAAAGGGCAGCATCAGAAAAGATGGGTGTGGAGGAGACAGATAGTAGCTCCAATCTCCCCCCCAAAATTCAGCTATTTTATGTTCTGCCAGAGCTCCAAGATAGTGGAGAGTAGGGAGATCTCTCTAGTTCCCTTTTCCTATGGGATTGTCATAGAAGATTGACAGGTTGGGAAAGTGCAGCACAGAAGCTGCCTTATACCATATCAGAGCGTTGATCCTGCTAGCTCAGTACTGTGGTTTGGGAGGATTTCAAACAGGGGTCTCCCCCAGCCCTACTTGGAGATGCTGGGTGTTGAACCAGGATGTTCTGCATGCAAAACAGGTGCTCAGGACCTGGCCTCCATGCTTCTGACTTTGATGGAGCTCTGAAGATAAACAATGGAGGGGGTGTATCACTGCATTTATTTTACCCTTCCTCTAATC